TGAAATTAAAATTGCTGAAGCAAATGGAAAAACCTAAGAAGGTTTTAAAGCCAAATCCTATAGTATAAAGTTAGTCTTAACTCAATTCCCAAGAATTTCAGTAAGAGTATTGCATGGAAAAAGACTGGAGGTTAGACTTCTGGATAGCAAGAAGAATATGGTAGGATGCTTCTGGGTTAGTTTTATGGAACATCATAAAACAGTGGGCTATAAAACCAGTGGACTATAAAAACAGAGGTGCATAATCAAAGCAAACTGCAAATACTCTAGAAGCCAATCTTTCGATTTTAACTTTGGGGGAAAAAATGACTTAGGAAGTGAAGGAACCATCTATGTTTCTTCCAAACACCCCTAACTAGCCAATATTTTATGTAGAAAACTAAGTAGGAGACAATAGCTTCTTTTACACTACAGTATATTAGTAACCCTTAATTTGAAAAAATAAATGCTTGCTCCTAAGATTATGATTTTATGGCAAGAGCCTATTACAGTTAGTTTTCTGGGCCCATTTTATTTGATTAGAAAAAGCATTCCAAGTGATCTCGCTATGCTTATACGTTTCTCAGTACAATTTGTGTTCTATATATCTGTCTTAGATGACAGACTTTTAGGGACAAGGTCTTTTGCAAAACATCAAATAAGTTATTTATCTAAGAAGCAGAAAAGGGTAGTCTTGTACAACAACAGGAACTGCTGAGCAGATCTAACTTTGGAAAAATAGTATGGCTATTTATGTAGCTTCTAAGAATCAGTGGAATTTTACTTTTTGAAACATGGTATAGGAATGGGTCAAAGACACATGAGAAGACTCCCACCTGTGTCTACCTATGTCAAATATTGCTGCAGTATGGGCTCTTTCCATTATACCAGGTTTCCAGCTTATGTGTTTAAAGGAAAAGAATCCAAATATTTAAAGTAGAGAAGAAAAAAAAAGTATGTAAGAAAAATAAATACAAAATAAAATTGTATTGACATAGAAGCTTGAAATAGAAAACACTTGGCTGAACAAATTAAGAGTACATCCATTCTTCTTTCTGCAGACAGACCAACTTTGCCTTGCTTGTACTGCGATCTGTCTGGACGCAACTGTCTTAGTGCTAAGACAAATAACCTATTTGAGAGGCTGATTTTCTTAGGATTAAGTACCAGAATTACCCAAACTGAAGTTTGTCTTGTATCACAGACTTTCTGTTCTGTTTTAGGCAAATCAGTTAGGTCCTCTATGAGTTAACTTATAAGTAACTTTCATTAACTTTGTAAGAAATAGGTGTCTAACTGTCCTTCAGGACATGGCTCCTCTTTCTTGCTCTGCACAATGAACATTAAAGGACCTCCCTCGTTCACGTAAGTACAACTGACAACACATCACCTGGGAGACTGTGCCCTGAGGCCTAGCCATGTGCTGGGTGTGGAATTGTCTCCAGTTTTCCTGTTGATAGGATTTCTTAGCGCATGTACAGTGTCAAGAAAATACAGCTCATTATGTTTTCAGAGTCACTTCAGGTCAGCAGCAGCATTGGTGCTTTCATGCAGAGCTGAGATGGGGCTGGTAACTGCTGACTCCAAGCTGAAAGCCTGCGGGCACAGTGCAGAAACTGATTATATGGCTCTGTAGGAATCTGTGCGCCTGCAGAAGCTGTAACACTTTCTTTATCCGCTCACCCACAACCCCAATGCCTCAGATAAAGGACACTCGTGGTAGACCAAACATGCCTAATAACGGCACTAATGGTGAACATTTAAGGACCCTGAAAGGACTCCTAGGCCTTGTAGATATTCAAATGATGTAACACTGGCTTTTTGGCTGCATTTGTTTGTGAACTTCTCAGCCAAATGATCGTGCCAATTTTGTCATCTGCCAGGCTTCCAATAATTCTCATGGATATGAAAGGTTCATATGAACAGTGCATACATTAAATCCCTGACTGTGACAGCATTACAAAAGGAACAAACATTTTATTGAGAAATACCAGCCTGAGTGAGACTGACTGTTTAGTGAGAGCATACTTCTCCCCACACTTCATAGGGGAGAAAATAACAAAACATTTTGGTTCCTTACACTCAGTACTTTTTGGTCGGACTTGGTTACTCATGTACTTCTTTTAGTAAAAATAATACATTTGAAATGTAATTCAATCTTACAAAACTCATCTTTCAATAAATCCCTGATATTTCTACTTTTATTTTCGTACCAGCTCAGCAGCAGCAGAAAATACTTAGAGTTTCAGAATTACCCAAAGAAAGGGAATTTTGTTTTTTGACAAGCAGCACTGCTTACTAGGCCTGCATTTCATGTGCACTGAGTGCTCCCGTTGCTTCCAGCCCACATTCTTGGAAGTTCAAGAAGTTCCTTACTGTCAGGACAAATTCATCAGTTCATGATTTACTCTTACGTTGGTCGTTCTCAACCATCAATGCACTCCTGAGATTCCCTGCCATTTTATCAGCATGACTGGATCCACATGAACCCAAATCTCTGGCCTTTCCCACAATCTGCTGTAAGGCCACTCCGTAAGAACGTTCTGATTCAAATCATGTCCAGGGAACCAAAGCAAAAACCATTACACAACACATAAGGTGCATGTGATTTTTTCCATTCTACTCTCCACCCATTCAGCCACAAACCAAGTATTGTATGTGACAAAAGAACAGCTTGTCAGAGATGGGTAAGTGTGGTAGATCGTCCATCTCCCTTGTCTTCGCTATTGCATTTGTATTTCCTCTTTTATTCAGCAGTCAATGGGAGAATTTAGTTCTCAGAAACTGACTGTGTTTTCTACAGATTTCCAAAAGAAACAAGGTAATGAACAAAAGAGCCAGCATCTGAATTCTCTTTTGGGTTGAATCTTGGGGAGGGCAGGTGGAAATTAAAAAAAAATAAGAGAAATAATTTCCATTTATATCACAATCTCTGCCAAAAATATTAGCAAAAAGTCAAAATCCCTGCTGGATGAATTCAGTGCAGCAGCACTTCCATTAACTGAAAGGACATATGGGTGCCATGACAGAACTTGACAGTAACTAGACGCTCACCTCAGTCCCATTACTGAGATTTTGTGATGTGACAACAGTGTCAGACATAAACAAGGACAAAAATAAAACCACCACCTCAGGACAAAAATCACTAAAATAAGATAATAAAACCAGCCTGTTTATCCTCATTAATTTTCCTAATTGTAGTATTATGAATAGAATGGCAGTGGTTTTATGAATACTTTTTCTGGATTACCTTTCAATTGGATGATAGGCATACATGAAATTCAGTTTCAGTTCCCTCCCCTGCAAAACTATTACCCTTACTTTACACTGCTTTGTGGCCTTTTCATGCAGTGCAACTCCCTTAACTGATCTGACCGACTTACCTCTCCTTACATTATTCACCAGGCAGTCTACTTCCCTAAGTTCTCCTTCTCTTCCATTATATAAATAGATACATATGGCATAAGCTGCTGCACTTTTGATTGAGTTTTAGTACTCATGAAGATGCCAAATGACAGCACTTGGATCTTTTAACATCTGCATATCTTTTAGTCAACTGTGTTTAGGGTTGCTAGTTAGAGGTACTTCAAATTTCAACTTCCTTCAAAGAAAGAGATCTGTTCTTTGCATGCCAGCCTTGGACTATGAGCTCATTCCATAGTGTGCAGTAAGTAACCCTTGAGAGCAAAAATGTTCTGATCTTGGGTCTTACTGGAACTGGAAGTGGCAAGTGAAAGGCTGTGTATCACAGGAATCTGAACTATTCAGTATGTCAACACTATTTGAAGAGCCAGGTGTTCGTCATGTTCTTGTTTGCAAGCTAATCAGATTACTTGTTTTGAAATACGGATTAATGAATTAATCACAGGGTGCGGTAGATGTTGTTTCTTAATGTTCTGAGACCAGTTTAATATGAAGGAGTTTATTTTTTTTCCATGTATGATTCATTTCAGAACTGGAAAGCACAGAAAATAGAAATGCGCAAAGGATAACCGCTTTAAAAAATGAAAATGATAATCAGTGCCATCTTTGGCACAGCAAGCTTTCTTTTATGTTATCTGAAACTGTAGATAGTGCCAGCAACTGTGGAAAGAGGGAATGATATGAGAGCTTTCTAGTTAATAAATCAGAGCTGAATGGAAAAGGGTGTGGTTTTGATTGTGCAAAATGCCAGACAGGTTTCTGGTTTGCAAAACTGAAACCAGGGGTGGTTCACACCTTGATATCTTCTGCATCATACTGCAGCATTTACAGAAATTCTACTTTTTTTTTTGTCTTTATCCAAATAATACCATTTGGGCACCCCAAATTTTACAAAATGCACTGACCTCAGTTTATTGATTCAAAGGCAGAAGGTAGCAGACTGGGATCTGGCCCTAGACTCTGCATAGAAGACACCCATTTCTGACCAATTTACTAAGCCAGGCACTTACATGTGCACTTTTCACTTGTTTTCCTGTTTTTCAGCTATTCTGTTCTAGACAGCTGCCCACCTAGTGAGCCAGATCCTTGCCGAGCACTGCATGGTGGGATCCTGGCACCTGGCACACAAGGGAAAGGGTCTCAACACTAGGCAATGCCAAACTGTGTGTTTCTGAGCGGGACAATTTGCATGAACTATGAACCATTTGGTCTTCAAACATTTTGAAAATGAGAGGTGGAGCTAGATTTTCAAAGATAATTACCTTAATACATAAAGATGGAGATAAATGTCCAAGGACAGAGATAATGTGACCTACACACTTTTAAAAACTGCCTGTGAAATTCCCACTCTATCAATAAAAGCTAGGCAACTAGACGCTTATTAAAATCCCATACATTGAACACCTTTGAAAATGTGGTCTGTTTTCTGATCCTTTCTTCTTGATTCTTCAGCTGTACACTCTGTACAGATACAGGATGTGCAGTTTCTTCCTTAACAGTCTCCTTTTGATTGTCCTTTGTTACTAAAACTGAGGAAATTCAGAAGCCAAAGTACAGACTGCAAAATCTGCATTGCTAGTAAAGGGGACTTAGTACAGACCAAATATACCAAATAAGGTCTCTCTGAGACAACGCAGAATCCCATACCTGTTGATTTGGAAATTAAGCATTTTTCTTGAACATTGACTGACTGTTAAATGGAAACTTAGCAGAAAAAAAAACACACAGAAAGACGGTCCTAATGATGTTTCAGAGCATGACTGTACCAGTGTCTGAAAGAGAGTAAGTTTGACAACAGTGAATGAATGCTACCAGTAATCCATACCACTGCTAGGTAAGTTTTTTTGTTATGTATTGCAATTTCTTTTCATATCTGCTTAGTTTGAATGCAATAAAATAGAGAAAGAGCTGTCATAGTCATTCAGCAATAGCAAAAATATTGAAGTCATGCTTTGGTGTGGTTTATGGAGCATTCCCTCCAGTGCTGTTGAGATTTACTGCATCAGCTGGAAAACAAAATAATCATTATTTTATGGGTTTGGATGTCTGAAGGAGAAAAACATTGTTTTTAGGCAGTTGCTGAGTACAATGATGTATTTCAAAGCTCTATTAATACTGTATGCTCCCACCTGCATGGCCAGATAGCTGAATTTATTTCTTTTGCTTTTTGCGTATTAGCTGGTATACAGTAGTGCTGTAATATGACCATGTGGCCAAGTTTACCATGCAGTACTCAGAGGATGTAAATCAATATTGTTCCTTTGGGTAAAACATGCTGCTTTCAGCCCTGTGCAGAGCGTACTGTGTAGAAAAGGCAGTGGGACGGTTTTGCTGGAAAGGGCCAGGGAATGAGCATCGCTGCACAACTTGCAAAAGTGTCTCTCATGAAGAAGAGGGAATCTACAAGAGCTGTGATCTATTCTATTCTATTCTATTCTATTCTATTCTTTATTTTATTCTGATTTGCCTTTCTCAACTGCTCAAGATATGTCCTACTCTTTTGCTTTCCACAGAGTCATCTGAGTATTTCTCAGTGGTTTCTTCATAGGGCCAAGATTTTCAGCAATAAATAGTTCAAGGGTGTTTTGTGGCTCTGGAGTCTGAAGCCTCACCCTCTGCAGCTGACACTCAGCAAGCTCTCTCCTCCCTAACGCCTTTTGGGATGAAATGAGAAAGTGATAAACTGAGAAAAAAATAAAATCAGATTTTTAAAGAAGAAAACTAAATCCAAAATGCTACTGAGTGCTCACTATCACATTCAAAGGCATAATTCTGTCTGTTGGGGATAGAAACATAAACTATAGGTGTCTGTTCAAAAGTGAGGCAATAAAGAGTTGGATGATTCTGTGTCAGCTTCATTGCAACAGGCTTGGAAAATGCTTCTTTATTGTATATCTGGAGATCAAGATCAACTTTCTATCAGCATAACTGCAGAGTACAGCTTGCAATCTTTTTTCAGTCTCAGTTTGGAAATAGAAAATACAAAACTGAAAACCAAAATGAAGCGAGCTCTACTTCAGTGACACTTTTTTTTTCCAAGTGCTTGTAGCTTTAAATAGTTTTATGAGAATTACAAATTATTGTGATTCATACTGCACAGTTTTGCTTTAGTACTGCTTAGGTTAATTCCCACTAGAAGGATGCAAATTTGCTTTTATGAGATCAGTTAAGGAATGCAGAATAATTGCCAGTACAAAAGCGACACTTAAAATAGGTATCTATGAACATATAATACATTGGAAGGAAGAATATCCAAGCTATTTGATGACTTTAATCTAAACTAAGGGGATTTAAAAATGCTTCCTTTGAGATAAACCCATTTCTAATTACCATAGAATCATAGAATAATTCTATTCCTTCTGATATGTTATATGATAGTAAACACCTATTCTAAGTGTCACTTTCATACAGTGATATAATTATCTGAATATTGCTTTAGGTTTTAAAAGAAAAGTCTTGGAAGGAACAAACCCTGATGAAACCCAATCAAGGAAATGCCTTTAATATTAGAACAGAATTTTCCAGCGTTTTTATATAATAGGCTTCATAGCAGTTTTGGTCCTAATCCCCTTTGAAGACATACTGGAGCAAAGAAATGAGTTAGTTTCCTTTCCCACCTGAAAGGAGCCTATAGCCCCACCAGAGCACACAATAATTCACATCATACATCCAGCAAACGTGTGGGCTCTGAAATAAAGGACGGGATTTTTTTGCTTAGCCTTTGATTATTTGCTTGCACCCACTGATAAACATTGACAAAGAGCTCAGGCAAATCAGACACATGCTTGTGCAGGAGGATGCTTCTCTGTGCAAGAACATGTTTCTGCACTTCGAGGAGGTTATTGGAGCTTCTGAACTCACTCCATGACTTACTGAAGTCATGGTAGAGTCCCTCTGGCTGGCACAACAGGAAATGTACAGGCTCCTTGTGCTCCAATGCAGCATCCTGGATCCGCGAGAGCAGTAAACACCATTTGTAATTACTGTTTTTCTCATCAGACTTCCCTCCCACTTTAAGAGAGAAAAAAAGGGGGTTGGGGGAAAGGTCTTGCTAGTCTCACTACTTTCCACTTCACTGGAGGCATTTTTACAAAGCATCTTTTTTTAAAATTAATAAAACTCTAGATTTCTCCCTGTTGAAAAACTATCCTCTTTATCTTGCTTCCCACCCAGAGAGAGAAAAGCACCCCACGGAGAATAGTGTTCATATGCATTTATTAGTTACTATGAGTTTTATTGCCGCATGTTGTGCTATGCTTTAAAAAATTCAAACATGCATTGCCATCTTAGAAAAGACACTGCATACTTGCTAAGCAAGCAATACCTTAGCTCCATGAAACCTCACTGGGCAAAACAATTGTAATTCAGCTGCCAGCTATATGAAAGAATTCAGTCTGTAATTAATACAATATGGCCTTTAATGAGGACCTAGTATGAGAAAAAAATAAGGCTTAATATCACTATATGCTCACCAGCTCGAAGTTTGGCCCCACCAAGTGAGACAATGTGGTGTACTTTGAGTTCAAATTGCATTTAAAACCTGTCACACAAAAGCAGTAAGGCACCTAATCAGATGTGTCTGAAAGAGCAACCATTTTGTCCACGTTCATTTGAAATTATGGTCAGTACAAAGGGAGCCTTCATTAGGGTGTTTTATTTCCCACATAATAGGTACTGAGACAAGGGGGAGCACAAAATTACAAAATGGAATATATAAACCTTTAGAATCAGTTTTAAGTAGTGTTAAGTTTGATGGCTTTGTAACAGTAGCAATGGAAAATTACTGAGGTGCATGATACACAGAAAAGAAAGTAGACTACAGCTAGAGAACATACTGAGAATTCTTGTACAAGATAAATCGTTATAGTTTTAAGAAAAACAGTCTAGAAGAACAGGACACAGGGATAAGGAGTATCTGGGAACGGCAGGTGTCCAGGATGGGCTGCAGTTAAACTAACTGATAAGTAGGAAGACAGGAGGATTATTATGCCTCTGGTGCTAACGAACCAATTAAGCAATTAAGCTGGTAGAAGCATCTACTGCATGTGCTCCAAAGGCTGCCAGAAGTGATGAAGATTGTTGGAAGAAGTAAACGACCCTCAGCACCACCACAATTCTGTACGCATGCAGGGAACTTTCTGGAAAATGATGTAATCCATATGTAGCCTCATGAATATGTATGTATGCCCAGGGACTATATAAGGGCGGCTTGTGTAGCAATAGGGGGACACACGTTAGGAGGAGCTATCCCCCGTGTCTCCCTGTGCCACAATAAAGAATACCTGCTTGTCAGCTTGAAAACTTTGTTGGCAAGTTTGTTCCCGGAGTTTTCTCTGAATCAGTACAATGTTTTATATTTCATAAGTTAGTCTTTAACTTGCCTGAACTCTCAGTCTTTTATGCATAGTTCAGACATGAGCTGGGAAGGCTCATTCCTCCGGCATTTATTTGGAAATCACAGCTCATGATCAGTTGCTAACACCTCAAAGAGCATGCTTTTATTTATCTTGTTTACATAGAATGTTTTTAATACCACTGCTGTTCATTAGGCTTTATGCACTATAATCAACACCCCCTTCTCCTCAGCAAGTAATTTACCAGATGATAGACATTTCTGTACAGGACCACCATACACTGAAAAAATTAGGCTCACTTCAACAGAAGCAAGTATCTCTGCACTAATTATCACCAGTGATAGCATTTCTTTCTAGAAAGATAATGAGGCAGATTGTGCTTTCAGTAACACTAATGTGAATGCACAATAATTCTGACATATCTGCAATGTGGTTCTTCCAGAGTCACATAACCACAGCTGGACTGCACTTATACAGTAGAAAACTGAACCCTGACTGGATCCAGAGCAGCTGCCCTCAGCAGTACAGCTGACTTCAAGTTTAGGGACAAGATCTTTCACCTCTTACCTGAGACACGAGTTGAGTGATATTGTTACTGTTATTATTAATGTGGCCCGTTGTGTCTTTTTATTTTCTTTTTTTAATAAATGTTTGTGTTTTCCACCCTCTTAGCTGACAAAAAGCAACAGAGGAACTGGGACAATTCTGGCACTCAGAAATCTGACTCCATGGATACAAACCAAACTTATCACTGTTTTGCTCCTAAAGTATGGAATTGTGAGAATGCCATTTGGTTAAATCACTATTAAAATGAGATATGGTGACATTTTGCTTGTCATCGTTTAATCTTATCAATTAAAAAAAAAATATGTGTTTCCACATGGACCTTTTTTTCTTTTATTTTTTGACACTTCAAATTCCACTAAAAGATGAAGCCACTCCTCCACCCTGGAAATATTTTACCAAGCAATTCCTTGAGCATTGTCACAGATTAAGGATGATGAATCAGCACAAATTTTCATCTTTATAGCCTTCGATATGGTTCTTCACAAGATATCATGAAGAAAAGAACTGGAATTATGGGTCGCAATGGAAAGTTAAAGAGCTGTGATGTTACATGCAATGAATGAAGTTAATTCAAATCTGCTTAGTTCAGCAACCACCTCTCAGAGACATGTATGACTGTCCCATGCAAATCACTAGTCATGAGTTTCAGTGGCACTTAGCCTATGCAAGACAAGATGAACCCAACTGATTATAATCACTGCTTCCCTCCTCTGCAGTAGAAATTTGCACTGTGACACACGATACCGGCTGCTGGACACTGGCTACTATAATAAAAGTTAATTTGCAGGATGGTATGGGCTGCATTAATTTTCAACATGGCAAAATGCTAACAGTTGACCCAACCTAGAGCCAGTGCTGTTTCATCAGCAAACTGAAAAAGGAAGTAAGTCATGAGTCATATAAAATGCTATAGATGATAATTATTTAGATTAGTCAAAGTCACAGAAGTCTGGAGAGATAATAAAGTGAGAACATGAAACAAAAGCAGCAGAGAGGCAGTTGAAATTCTCTGCAGCTAAATAAAGATTAAAGCATTTACCTAGAAAGAGGATACAATTTATACAAAGTGGAATAGGTTCACTAAGGGACTGAAAGAACATTCCACAGCTCCCCTCCTTCGTCTTCTCTCCCCCCCCCCCCCCCCCCAGTCCTCCAGAATATTCTGCAGCCTTCTCACTAGGAAGCCCTGAAAGAATTATGCGTGGTTTAGGTTATATTTCTGATTGGCATCAGGTAGAAAAAGGGTTAAACCCCAAGCCTCTGATATTTCACTCAGTACCCTAGATGTAAGCCCTTGGATTTGGAATTATATTTATATGCAAGAAAAAAAACAGCATGTGGAACAGCCGCATTACAAAAGGCCACAGTGCCTGCTGCGGAACACTGGATGGAGCCCAGTCCATCAAGACAGCTCTTGCTGAGCCCCTAAGGGGCATAAGCAGATTATCAAACACTTGAATCCCTTCCAGGACACTAGCTGGATACCACATTGGTCAGGACATGCAGTGATGTGTGACCAGGCACACAAATCTGACATTGAAAGAGTCATACTGAGATGGAGCTACTATCAGACTCCGGGCTCCATTTAAATCCCAGGTATTTTGTATTCCACCCCAAGGTGCTCCTGAAAAGCCAAAGGCTCATAGAGGTAAGCAGTAATAGTCCATTTCTCAAACATGTTACCCACAGTGATGCTGTTGAAAGATAGCCACCATTTGTGTTTAAATTGAACTTTGACATCCAAAACAGGCTTGTGCGGTTTTTAGCCATTGTGAGAAATCTGCAACAAATGCAGCTGGGGTAACCCAAATGATAGTGCTATGTGTGAAAGAATATTCAGAGGGACACTCTCTGCTGCTCTAAGCAGCATGGCCAAAATTCACAGCCCGAGGGAAGGGACATGGGTAGCATCTATGCCCTGTCTCCCACAGGGAGGTTAGATTGGCCCCATTTCCATTAGAAGGCTGGTTACGAGAGAAGAGGTTTGGTATGAGACAAACATGCAAAATTGTCAGATTCTGCACTAACCATTAGTTAATTGAAATAAGATTTTTTAAGATCAAGATGCAGCAATTGAGTGGTAGAAAGACGATAGAAAGCAGAGACAACTGCTTCAACTGAAAATCCAATGGCAATAGAAAAAAAAACAAACCGTAACTGGTTTCCCCACCATGTTCCCTCTCTAAAATGGGGATAAAGCACACACCTGAAATTTTCTGACTGAAAGCCAATGTCATTTCAAGCAAATAGCCTGCTATCCACAGAAAAGCTCTTCAGATAGTGCAACATCAAAGAGGAGATCCAGCAGCAGACAATCAGCTTAACTAAGTAGCCCTTTGAGAGCAGCTCTCTCAGGAGAGCCAGCTGAGGCATAAAAAACTGCTGGGGATGAATGACATCAATGCAATTTACCGGCTTTCTTCACATAAAGACCTCAGCGTAAGGAAATGATTTAAGAGACAACTAAACTCTGCTAGAGTCATAATTAGTAAATAATAGGTTCCATTACACATATTGGTGTATACAACTAATTCAGGATAATGACACAACAAGCTCTCCTTTTTTTCCCAAAAACATTTTATTAACATTACTTACGAATTTGTATTTAGAAAATATTGTAGGTGAATTTAATTGAAATTCAGACATGGCTCAAATACAAAACATAAAAGAAGGTGCAATAGTATCAACATAAGTATAATCTACCACAAGAAATACAACAATGCCTCAAAAGAGGGATTACACAAGATTTGCAGAAGCTTCTGGTTTTCTGCTTTAACAGCCACTGCATAAACACAAACACCATGATCCTCAGCAGATACAATCAGCATAGCTCTGTTAAAATCAAAAATATGCAGATTTCTGCCATACAAGGATCTGGAGTGTAACTTGGCAGAAATGTTAAATGTCATGAAAAAGTAATGGTAACATTTTCATTTTAGTACTCAAGTAGCTTACTCACTGCCTTGTTCAAGTGTGTTTTCTTAACACCTTGACTATGAATGTAACCGTAAAGGACAGCCTACTTTAATAATAGAGCTGAAGTATGTAAAATGGCAGGGCAATAAACCTCTGAGTACACTTTTGAAAGGTTTCTTTTCTTTAGTAACCAGAGAATGCCAAAAAACAAAAATAAAAAAATCCATGGTAGAGATTTCTCTCTGTACCCTCCCCAGTTATACTAAGGGACAGTTGATTTGTCAACTCTTATTTGTAAAAACTAAAATACTCTCCCAAAGCAGTAGTAACATTCCCCCATAAAAACATGGAAATCTAAACACCTGGCTTTGCCAAAGTATTACTGCAAAAACAACAGAGCAGAAGAACCAAACTTCAGTTCATTCTATTTCTATTAAATGCAGTTCTTTATAAAGTGTAATTTGGAAATAAAAAGTAGTTCTGAAAGACAGAACTATGTCAGTGTATAAAACTGTGTGGAAACTATCTTACAAAAGAAGAAAGTGGAATCAAAAGAAGGTGTTTCAAACATCCAAGTGCATATCAGCTTTAAGACTTAGGGTTGTATGTCTGAGGTTTTTTAATCAGTTTTCTCATCATTTTCCTGCGGAATGCATTCGTTGGTTTGTTGATTCCTGGTTTCCGAGTCCCTGCTAAGAAAGTAAAGGAAGCAGTTAGGAAAACAGTATGACAAAACTGTTACTACTCTTTATTGTTTGGTTATTTTGGGGGTGGGAGGGTGTTACATTGTGCTGTTGAAGCAGTTGATCCAATAATAACAAATTGTATCAGAAACTGCAAAATGTGTTCTGGACACCCTATTCTCACACACTGTAAGGTTTCCAGTGTGTCAACCTTTGGCACTTTGGAATTTTGCTGCTCTTTTCCTCGGCAAGCATCCAAGTCTTTTCCAGCTGTTTTGCAGTGACAGCAGTATGGAAGGAAACACAGTGCTCTATTGTGTGTGTATGGTGGGGGAAAATGACTGTTACTGCATCTCTCAGAACAGTGGTATGTTTTAGTATGTGGTATGGTTTAGCGTGAGGTGTCCCGGTGTCCCTGCCCATGGCAGGGGCGTTGGAACTAGATGATCTTAAGGTCCTTTCCAACCCTAACTATTCTATGATTCTAACAGTGGGTTTAAATCTAAAACATAACCAGTGCTTGTGGGAGACAGAAAGGTGAAGTTATTGGGGTTTTCTGCACAGAACTGGGTTTCACAGAGAAGCTGCAAAGACATTTGGGGTTAACTCTAGAAATGTTGACAAGGGCTACATGAAGTGTGTGAGTGGCAGTTAAGAATACAAATACTTTGCAAGTTTGACTGAAAATCTTTGTCTTTATGCTACCAATTATTAGCATACAAAGCCACTGAGGCCAGTTCCGAATCATTTCACTGTCAACCCAACATATTTTTCTTTTCCAAAAATCAACTTTTTTAAAACGAAATCAATCAGAAAAGTTTTCATTCCAAAAGTTATGGATCAGTTTAAACAGCAGTTGTATATTTGCCCAGTGAAGGTCAACTGATTTCAACTTTAGACTACAAAAGGAACAGGAAAGATGCCGGGGAGGGAATTGTGGGAGAGGAAGAGGAGTGGCTTAAGTTGCCTGAAAGATTTGCTTAATGCTGCTGTACACTCCCAAGCTGTAGAAATGAATATGTATAGCTCAACATTAATTAGCACCAATTATGCCCTTAACTATGGGCTTTGGTTATATCAAGCCTTACTGAATTGTGAAATCCACAAGTTGGTGAAAAAGCTTGTAAGAGATCATTTATGTTTTACTATCTGGTGTTCTAGTTGAAACAGACATTGTTTCCTTCCGTTTTCCATAAAAGAGTGAGGAAGGAAGGAAGAACCCCCAGGTGGATCTGGCAGGGGCAGAGCCCAAAGGCAAGATGCTGAAGAGGCAGTTTCCTTCCTCCTTCCTCTCTTTCTGCACATTTGGGCTGAAGCCTGGCGCTACCATTTTCCAGGTAGTAATAGATGCAAATTAGATAATCACAAGCATCTCATATAGACTTAGCTATTAAAGACTTTCTTGTAATACTAGAATGGCAGAGACACACTCAGGCTTGTCACTCTCAGAAATAGTACTGTCATGACTAACTGGCAAACAATTATTTTTACTCCTGAGCACTGTGCTCAGCATGCAATCCTTGCCACAGCCCTGGATTTACAGCCCAGAACTAAAGAATCATATCCTGATTTAAGCCTTCTGACTACACACCTTAAATACTGAAGTACTTGAACCCCGTGCGTATCTTGGAGCTACTTTTTGGCTTTTTTTCTTTTGTTTTCCAAAGGTATGTACATGCTAAAGAGAGCATTTTTA